AGAGCTCTCTCTCTCTCCCTTCACTTACTGACTTGAGCGTCGGAGGCTCTTCACCGGAAAACATTTTCGGTGTTGAGTTCTTGCAGGTGTTCGCTGTGGTCTACGAGCGACTTGGAGGCGATTCGAACAGACCGGAGCTCATTCTCACCGGTTGACTCCGGATCTAGGAGGAGACCCATCAAATACCATAATGAAGAAGCCTATTCTCAACGATCCTAGTTCGAACGATCTCTCCCCTTCCGGTTCTAAAATCGATTAATTAGATTAAGATAGTGATCAAGCATCTAAAACTCTAGGTTAAGCACAACTCCAAGAGATTGAGCAATTATCATGCAAATAAACGAAATCGAACCAGAACGACAATCCCCTACCCCTAGCTAATGAATTTAGCTACTCATAATGCATTCAACATCAACATATACAATAATCAAATCCATCTCAATCATGAAGAAAACGAAATGAAAGCTTACGATTAATGAATCCAATGTCGAAAACAAGAACAACCAAATCTAAAAGTCGAATCTCCAAGTTTTTACGCTTCAAGATTGAACCCTAATAAAAAGCCAAGAGAAATCTGAGTTTTTTAGGTGAAAGAACGAGAGGAAAGTTTAAAACCTAGGATAGAACATGATCCCCCAATTTTACAAATCTGTTCATTAAAAAACTGCAATTCGCGGCTTCCGCGGCCGCGGTGAAGCAACGCTCTGCGACCGCGACTACTCCAGCGGCCGCGACAATTCTGCTCAGTGGGGCCTCCGCGGCAGCGACCTCCTCCTCCGCGGCCGCGGCGAGGAAAACTGGGCGCCGAGGTGAATTTATTCACCGCGGCCGAGGGAAGACCGTCGCGGGCCGCGGTGAAGGACTTTCGGCTCAGAAATTTGACGAGCTCACACGTATGCCTCCGGACTCGGAATCTAGTTCCGTCTTTTCCTTCTCGACTCGATCCCAACCTCCTAGACAACAATCACCGCACGGCTACTTACCGGGCCACCTAACGTGCATATCACCACCGACAAGAGAAACACAGAAAAACGGGAACAACAAACAAAGAAATCCAAAAACGAACAAAAATAAGAGAAATGCACGACACGACGCAAAATGGACCAAGAACCAAAGAAAAATACCTACAATAGGAAAAAATAAAGATAAAACGAACACGACAAACAAAACAAAAATGGAACGAACACTTGTAATTATATGTTATTATTAATGAAATCTATCTTTTTAATATAAATAATTAAATAAATATAGAATTTTGTCTTTGGCAACAAACGGCTCTGTTATTGGATGTTGACCCCACATATTTAGCGACTAACAATTTCGTCTTTTATTTAACACTCACTAGTGCGTAGCCCGTGCAAGGCATAGAGAAATAATAATAGCTCATATAAATTAAAATAATTAAGAAATATCGATAAGTATATAAACTATTTTGAATATTAATGCTAATTTTCATATTTTCCATGATATATAATAGTTTAATAAATGTGTATTGCACCCGTTATAAATAGTTGTCATTTAGAGTCACAATTTAGAATAAAAAAGACATGAAAAATTAACATATTTAAAATTTATCAATAAATAATACTCACAAAAACACTTCTCTCTTTCTCCCCTACCTAATACATTTTTACAATATTATTAATTCAATTTCTAAATAAATGAATGTAAAGTCAAAAAAATTGTGGCAAATATTATATATTGGCACTTAATTTAAAAATAATGCAATGCATATTATTTTAAAGTTATAAATTTACTAATTTTTAATGTTTTTACGAGTACAACACCCGTGTATTACATGGGTGCTTGCTATTTTTTTTTCTTAAATTTAAAGTTAATGAGAAAAATGGTTATTGAAAATTTAACTACTTTTTATAAAAGAATATATATTATTATATATTTTATTATAACACTTTTTTCTTGTGCGACTTATCTGTGTTATATTATAATAATTTTTCTAACTTATAACATATAACTACATTAAACATAAATATATTAATTGAGAAATAATTTTATTTTCTAATAAATTTTAATAAATAATTTTATTATTATTTTAAAGATAACTACAATTTTTTTATTTTATATGTACAATATGGATGTCAAATCGAAACTCATCAAAGATGATTAATTTGATATATTATATATGTAAAACCGCTAAGAAATACAGAAGTTATCAACTTTTAAAATAAATTTACAATTCAATATTTATATAGAAAATGATATTAAAATACAGTTGATACATCTAAAATGATCATAAATAAATTAATATAATTATGGTAATCTGAACCTAATTGATTATAGATTGAAATTAAATTAAAATTTATCCAAGCCAAATAATAAAACATGTAATTTTGACATATGGGATCCCGAAGCATGCGAGTCTGCCACTTAGGCTCAGCATATTCAGGAATTATATAGGGGGGATGGTTATCTTATTTTTTGATAATTTATAATAATGTATATTATAAATATTTTGATTTTTTAAAATTTAATAATTTGCATGACAGTTCAACACTGGTTGCTTAATATCATAATTTATAACAATATCTATTATAAATATTTTGATTTTTTTTCTAAGGTACCAATTTACATTTTTTTTAATGGTTGACGTGTTGGTTATCATTATAATTTAACCCAATATATATTGTAAATATTTTCTTTCAAGATTAATAATTTACATGGATAGTTAGACACATGATCTGTTGATTTGTCATCGTAATTTATAACAATATATATCATAAATATTTTAATTTTTCTTTCTAAGCTTATAAATTACATGTCAGTTCGACGGGTTACTCGTTGGTTTATCAAAATTCATAATAATTCATATTATAAATATTTTGATTTATGTGTAATCTAATTATTTACATGACAGTTCGACGAAAGATTCGTTAGTTTATCATTTTAATATCGATTATACTTAATTCTCGATATAATATTTATTATTATTTTTATACCTTTTTAACAATAATTTCTTAAACCCATGAGAAATAATTACTATTTTATATTATATTATACTAAATACATTTTATTATGTATACATTTTATATTTTATTGTATGAATAACTTGAGAGTAATTCCTTGTTTTAAAATTAGATTTGAATACTAAATTTAAGTTGATTTTATGTATTCAATTAATTAATGAACTTAATATTACTATAAAAATAATTATATTGTATTTGTACATATAATATGAGTGTCAAATTGAAGATCAAGCAACTAATCATTATAATCAAACAATTCGAACATGTATGAACACCACATATTCAACACAATTTTAAGACAAAAACTAGAAATCCCTAGCCCTAGGTGGATGGGTTAGTTTATGCTCGGATTGAATTTCACGTTAATCGAAGTTGAGAACTTGCATCAATCAACAATAGTAATAGATTAACGAAAACTTACAATAATGGGAGCGATCACAAGTGTTCGTTCCCCACGTATTTAGTTCTAACAATTCGAGCACGAGTAAAAGCAAAAATGGAGAAGAATCCTAAGAAAACTATTTACAAGAGGTTTTTGGTGTTCGAGAGCATTTGAATCAGTCCCCGGTATGTTTCTGGTGTGTTCAACAGATATTTTGGTGGTTTCTCTTTCTCATGAAACCTCATTTAAACAGGTTCAAAACGAGGTTCCCGTTTAATCTGTACACAAATATAATTTTTTTTTATATTTATTTATTTATTTATGTTTACTACAACACTTTGTAGAAAAAACATTCCAAGGTCTTTCCAAAGGAGATAGGTGTTACCCAAGGTCTTTTTTTTTTTTTTTTTTCAGAAAAATGGGGAAATATATGGCAAATGGCGGCTTTTGGTTAAACAACACTGGTGGCGGGCTTCAACGTAAAAACTTCGACGCTCAAGTCAGAAATTATATAATCAAAATATTGTTATTCAGAACATAAATCTAAAAAGTGAAATTAGATCTCTTATTTACAAATAATTTAATGACTTATTTCCCAAAATAAAGGGTTTCTTAACCACAAAAATATCAAACTCCAAGTTATTAAGGAGTTGATACACACTAATCCACTTGAATATTTCTTCGATTATTTTATAAATCTTCATAGATGATCAATATTGGCTATTTAATGTATATAATTTAATAATACCATATGTAGTTTCAAAAAACAAACGATTTATTAATAATACCATATAAATCTTACACCATATTTATTTTCTTAGTTTTTTTTTTTTCTTGCCCGACAAGTTATTCATTTAGGTTTTCTGCCAATCAGTTTTGAGAAAGTAACAATGGACCTCCGGGAGAAAATAACACATGACCTCCGGCAGTCCATCGCCGCTCAAACCGACTTCTCCTCGCGGCTCACGAAGAACCTCATCTCCACCTATGCCAAGGACAACAACTTCGTATTCTCGCCCCTCTCAATTCACGTCGTACTGTCCATGGTCGCGGTCGGGTTGGGCCGCCCTGCCCGCGAACAGCTCCTGCGCTACCTCATGTTCGATTCGACCGAGGAGCTCAATTCCCTATCGTCGCAGATCTCCACCTCGCTGCTAGCCGACGGCGGGCCGGCGGCCCTCTCCTGTCCATCGCCAACGGCATTTGGGTCGAGCGCAGCCTTGCCCTGAAGCCGGCTTTCAAAGAAACCATCGAGAATGCTTATGGGAGCGCAGTAGGTCAAGTGGATTTTCGCAATCAGGTCAGGTTTCGTAACTTCGCACCAACTGGATTTAGGATTTGCGATTAACGATAGTACAGTTGATTTCATCATCATATTCTATCGTGCTGCAATCATGTGTCACCATGTTTCTGGTAGTGCCGTCTTGTGTTGTTCTCACCGGGTCACTTGTCTTTGTGTTTCCTAATCGTGCCAGCAATTGTCAAATCTAATTTATGTACCAACTCTTTCAATAATTTGATTTCTATGGAACTTTTTTCAGTTTAATGTGGCAAGAGAAGCAGTGAATGCTTCGGCCGAGGAGAAAACAAATGGTGTGATAAAAAATCTGCTCCCACCCGGCTCAGTCACTAGTATGACTATGCTCATCCTTGCAAATGCACTCTACTTCAAAGGAGTTTGGGCTTCAAAATTCAAACCGTCTCTAACCAAAGTCCACGACTTCTTCCTCTTGAACGGAAGTTCGGTCCGTGTCCCCTTCATGACCAGCTCCAACCCCTTCATGACCAGCTCCAAGAACCAATTCGCGCGTGCCTTTGACGATTTTAAGGTTCTGAAGCTACCGTACGAAGAGGGCCAGGACACGCGGAAATTCTCCATGTACTTCTTTCTTCCCAATGCCAGGGATGGCTTGCGGGCGCTCGTCGAGAAATTCGGCTCGATTTCTGGGTTCATAGAGCACCACAGGCCACATCGAAGGGTGAAAATGGGGGATTTTCGTCTCCCCAAGTTTAAAATAAGCTTCGATTTTGAGGCTTCGGATTTTTTTAAAAGTCAAGGATTGGTTCTCCCTTTTCTCGGTGGTTTGACCGAGATGGTTTACCCTAACCCGTATGATCCACTCGAAATCTCCGGCTTTTTTCATAAGGCATACGTAGAGGTGGGCGAACAGGGCACGGAGGCTGCAGCAGTGGTGAAAGGCCTGCCCTGTGGTTGTTCGAGGTACCGGCCTCCACCTGTGGACGTGTTTGACTTTGTAGCTGACCATCCTTTTCTCTTTGTAATAAGGGAGGAGACCAGTGGTGTTGTTCTCTTTGTTGGGCAACTTGTGAATCCTCTGCTGCCTGTGTAACTTGATAATATTGAAGATTGATCTTGATAGACTCTCCTTTTTTTTTTTCATTATGCTTACAAGTTTGTGAATTTCTTTAGGGGGTTTAGATTTTGTGGTGATTGCATTTTGAACCTTCAGTTGATTTGCAAATGCTTTAGTTGAATTTCAGCTTTCGGGCCTTTGAAATCATGTATTAAATTTTAGAAATTTAATAATTACATATGCTATTTTGTTACTTATAACTATGTATATAAAAAAAAAAAAACATTAGTTTTGGCACTGACAGGTATGAGATTCCATTCTACCTCAATCTCCGGCTTATTGTTCTCAGAGTTATCTTTTATCCTATGTGTTCTGCTACTCTATAAACTCCATCCCGAATCAACACCGGCGACGACTACATCTCCATGGATCCGGCACCCGCGACGTCGACATCTCCTTCGTCTCGTGCAGCCCCGGCCACAGCATCAGCATCGGCAGCCTCGGCAAGGCCCCCAAAACGAGTACGTCCTCGGAGTCCGCGTCTCCAACTGCTCCTTCACCAGCATGGAGAACGGCGTCTGCATCAAGACGTGGGCCCTGTCGCAGTCCAGCCTGATGATGATTGGCATCACGTTGAGGATATATGGTAATGAGATAAGTGCAGAACCCGATCGTCATCGACCAGCAGTACTGCCCCCATTCCAACTGCATGGAGGGTGAGAGTTCGGCCGTGCAAGTGGAGAATGTGATGTTCAAGAACATTCGAGGGATCTCGCAGACACAAGTTGCGGTTAACTTGCTGTGCAGCAATATTCGACCTAGCAAGGACATCAAGCTCATCTGACATAGACTTGTCGTA